ATCCCGATAGGATGAGAAGTATGATTCAAATGCTCTGCGTGTTTGTGTTGAAGAAAACTGGCCAAAAGGTGTGGTTTGTTACACTTCGGTAGTTGAGAGGTTCTCAAAACTGTGCCACGCACCTTCTTAAAGATGAAAAAAATAAAGGTTATGCAAGCCAGTTGATAGTGAAGGTGGCGACATTGATGTTTGTTGTCCTTGTTTTGATTGGACATGCCAAGAAAGATGTGCACATTCTAGATTTGATCATCACCAAAGTTGCCAACTCTGATGATTCAATGGCTTTTCCCTGGGGGACATGGGCGTTTATGTATATGTATATATATATATATATATATATGTTATATATCTATATATGTATATATATAAATGTATGTATGTATATATATAGATATACATATATATATATATATATATATATATATATACACGCAATATGAATTATTAAAATAGCTTGATTTTCTTAAATACCATTTAAATTTTATATTTAAATGATCTAGGTTTACTGAATTCCTACAAACATATAATTGTTCTCACCGCTTAATATAAATGATATACTACAAAACCATTAGTGATTCCATTATTCTTCTCCCCCGCACTTATTTTAAAACCTTGGGTTTAAGATCTTATTATTTTATAATTAAAAAAATCATGATTCTTCTCCTCCACATTAATTTACGTTAATGAAAGATATGATTTTGCTCTTACACGTTAATATGTTTTGTTCTCTCTGTGGACCCTTGAATTGTTTAAAAAATGATTCTTTTCTCCTGTATTACTAACAATATAAAACATAAACTAGCATGATAAAAAATATAAATTTTACAAAACATTAAAAATACAATGATTATTCTCTCGAAGCTTTTATCAAAATGCCCTCTAAACGTTTTAGATTTGGTGGACTACCCAGTAAATGTGAATTGACAGAAATGTCCAAGCGTGTAAAGGAGACGCGCTTCTTAAAAAACAGAAAAGAAGGCCGTTTAACGGAGCATACACGCCGTTTCAAGTTTAAATTTAAAAGAAAAACAAGAATGGGTGAAACGACATCGGAAGAGTTTACACAAAAACCCTCCCAAAACATCTCTTCCTTCATCGTGCGACCTTTGAGTTTTCGATCTCTCTCCAACATCTTCGACATCTCCCAAAGTTGAACAAACCCCCTGCACCCAAAGATTCAGAGATCTCTTGAACAGTTTGATTCTTACAATGAGGTCGAAGAATGCTTCTGTGCTGATCTCCAAGAGTGAAAGCGATGGGAATCATGCCGAAAAGGCAGCAGCACAGCACCGCGGAACCCCCCGAAGACCACTCAAGAAAATCTCCAGGTCAGAAATTTGATAATAAACTAGTTATTCTATCTCCAGTTCAATCACTAAACGTAATCAATGATTGATTCAGATTATCGACCAAAACATGTTGATTTGACTAAACAAAAGGTCGCCCTTTGTCGACATTCGTCCTAGTTATTTTTATCTTATTTCGTATGAAATGTTTTCACATTATATGCCCTTATATAGGTCTCAGAGATCAAGACGAAGGTAAATGTGAAAGAATTTCCAAATATGAAGCTGACAATGAAGTCGTCACTACCAGACTTCCAAAAATTAATGAAGGTTGAGTTGACATATCATTTGAGAATCATATAAGAGTTCAGGAGAAATTCTCTCTTTGGTGCTTTCCTGGATGTCCAACTTGTTCCCCCTCCAGCCATGTTATGGCAGTTGATGGTTAGGGAGGCCAATGTGGGAGGAAAAGGAGCTCATGAGGTGTGGTTTGTAGTAAATGGAGTTCCTGTTAGATACTCTCTAGTGGAATTTTATCTGATTAATGGACTGAAGTGTTCAGAACTAGAATCCCGATAGGATGAGAAGTATGATTCAAATGCTCTGCGTGTTTGTGTTGAAGAAAACTGGCCAAAAGGTGTGGTTTGTTACACTTCGGTAGTTGAGAGGTTCTCAAAACTGTGCCACGCACCTTCTTAAAGATGAAAAAAATAAAGGTTATGCAAGCCAGTTGATAGTGAAGGTGGCGACATTGATGTTTGTTGTCCTTGTTTTGATTGGACATGCCAAGAAAGATGTGCACATTCTAGATTTGATCATCACCAAAGTTGCCAACTCTGATGATTCAATGGCTTTTCCCTGGGGGACATGGGCGTT